ACTTTGTTAAACCCTCTCTTTCCTTTTTTCTTCATAAGGTTTGCTCTGTTAGGGGTTGAATATTACCGAACATACCATTGTGAGTGATTAAGACACTTGATGCCACCAATTTCAACTCCGTTGAGTCATTTTATCCGAACAACTTAGTTTGTTGTACGTATACAACATTTTTGTATGTGTACAACATGCAAGTTGTAAAACGTTTTTCGGTGTGTTTTGAAGCGTTTCCCGCTGTTTCGGGTTCCTGCCATCCCCCCATGTGGCGCACTGAGCGCCTGCGAACAGCAGGTTACACTACCCCGCAACGCACGTGTGTAATGCGCGGTTACTTTTGGGTTTTGATCCCCTGACAGCATGATGTTGTATCTATACAACGTAGTACATTACCAAATATCGAGACATCCAAAGGCTCAAATGAGAAAATGGCGATAAAAATGTAAGGCCAGGGAGACAGACAAGCAGCAATTAGTTTTACGCTGATCAGCAAAATACAGATTGCCGCCAATCTCGCATACAGGAATGAAAGCGTCACACAAGAGGTCGGCACAGCAACGAAAAAAAAAAGAGGAAATCAGCTGTCAAAAATAGTTAATTTTTCCCCGTCGATACAATATTTTCTGAGTGTTAAGTCATCAGAACCCCAACAAAGACGAAAACATCCAGTCTCTCACCCAAAATTGCGTCCCAGCGAAATCGGTGACCTAACCGGCACGAAGTTGTATGTAAACAACATTCATTTTATTTTTCACCCCAGTGCTGCCACGCGCACGGGATCGAGTACTTCGACTGCTTATCACGTTCAGATATAATTAGTAAAACTGTTCTTGCATACTCTGAAGTGAAATCAGCTTTTATCGGAACGAAATCGGCATTAGCCCACGCAGTAAATCACGGAACTAAAATATTGTGTTTTCGGGCTGGTGTTGGTAGCCATGTACGCAGCAGATTTGTTTGGCGGGTGATTTTAAAATTCAGGTGGATGTGCTCGAACACTTTTATGATGCGGGATAGTTTGTAACTGCAAATTTACGGTCAGAACTAAGATGTTTCACTAACGTTGTATGTATACCACGTCGTGCCTGAAAGTTAAGCACACACGACACACGTCATAAGGTGAGAACTGTAATTTGATTATCATCTGACAGAGCAGGAAGACAATGTTCCTGGGTCGATACTACTGCAAAGTGCACTTTCATTGCATAATTTATATCCCGTGGTGAACTCATAGTTGTACTACACGTGGATGTGCTTCGAATTTTAAAATTCAAGGAACAATAAAATTCCTATTATTTCCTCTCATACCACGTTTAACATTAAAACTCCCCATGTGTCATTTTTTTTTAGATCTCCTTAGCCATTTAATGGAGGAGAAATCAAATTTCCTCGAATCTGGTAATGATTGAAATCGTGCCGCACTGTGCACGTCATGAAAAAATCGAGCCCACCATAAACAAAATCAGGCCACTTCACATTTTCCAGGTACAAACGCGAAATTTGAACTTTCGTGGAGAAAGGGCCATCTACAAAGTTTGGTCATCAGTGGGTCTGGGGTTGGCCGGTTACGCTATAACGCGATACTTTGAAGGAACCACATGAGCGTTACTGATTGTATGAAACTTATCACGACATATCACACCAGGAATATCAGTGGCGTGCCTAAATAGCGTGCCGACATCGGCTCCCCACGCGCGGAGAGACCGCCGGCCGCCGGCGGACGACCTGGAGTCTGTTTCAAAATTCATATAACTTTCCGTTGTTTTTACTCGGTGATTTTTTAAAGCTCGTCTTTTCTCTTTAATTGTTTCAGAGCTAAACCCCACAGATTGTATATACAGGCAGCATTATGGTGCTGTTTCCTTCGATTTTAATGTGGATTGTTACACTGGTTCAGCACATCCTATGCAGAAATCTGAACACCTTTGCCGTATGTATCTCTATTCTCTCAACAACTCTACAACCTCAAGTGTGTTTATAGTACAATCCACCTGGAGCCAACATGCATGTACACTCCAACCTGGAGCATACCTGGCATGCACCTTCCAGGTTGGAGTGTACTTGGCTGGCATGCACCTCCAGGTTGGCGTGTACTTGGCAAGTACACACTGTTAAAAATTGTTGTTTTAAAACAACAACACAATTACCAACCTCGACAACGCTGTTGTTTGTGAACAAGTTTGCTTGTTTTAAGGGGGCTCATACATGTTAAAAGCACTTTTTAAAAAAAAAATTTTGGTGTAGACGGATTAAGATTTTACAATTTCTGTGTTAAAATCCTTTTAGATAATTTAGTAAGCTTCATTTTGGCTTAAAGGAAAGTGACTTTGGACATTTTTTGGAGATTTAGTCGAAACGTTTAAAAATTTTTCTTCTCGTAAGATTTTGTTCGCCCTACTTGCTCAGATCTGTGGGGAGACTCATCCCCAGTAGTGTCATAGAATTGACTAGAATGGGCTTTATATCTGCAATAGTTTTCAAGAAAAAAAATAAAAACAATTTTTTTTCAAAAAATTTGTTCAAAAAAAAGTTCAAAAAAATTTTTTTTATTTTTTTCTTGAAAACTATTGTAGATATAAAGCCCATTGTAGTCAATTCTATGACACTATAGGGATGAGTCTCCCCGATTTTTTCCCCACAGATCTGAGCAAGTATGCGAACAAAATCTTACGAGAAGCAAAATTTTAACGTTTCGACTAAATCTCCAAAAAATGTCCAAAGTCACTTTCCCTTAAGCCAAAATGAAGCTTACTCAATTATTTAAAAGGATTTTAACACAGAAATTGTAAAATCTTAATCCGTCTACATCAAATTTTTTTTTTTTAAAAGTGCTTTTAACATGTATGAGCCCCCTTAAAACGACGAATTCGTTGCTAATTATTTTTATGACTTATGCTGTTTCAAAACAATATTTTGCTGCGCACAAACAACCCAGCAATCTAAGAAGTGGTTACTGCGGGGTAACCGGGACTCTACGAGGTCTGTGACCTAATCGGCAATAAAAATTGATGCAAATAAGGCTGTCTACCGGTTTACAAACATCTTGTGGACGAACGACGCAACTCGTTAGTAAACAACGAAAGTCATTTGAAAACAACTTTCATCATTAAGAAAATTAGCAACATATTTACTGTTAAATTACAACATAATTTTTAACAGTGCACGCCACGTGGCGCATACCTTTAGGTACAATATTGCTGGCTCCCTATTCTTTGCGTATTAGACCAAGCAGCAGTGTACCTGCAGGTATGCGCCACCTGACGTGTACTTGGCAAGTACACGCCAACCTGGAGTGTACATGCGTGTTGGCTTCAGGTGGAATGTACTATGAACACACTTGAGTTTGTAGAGAAGGCGTAATTTGGAGACAATTCAAGTGGAGCTTAGGTCTACGAATAGAGTGCGTATTACCGTGGTACATTTTTGGAGTTACCTCTTTTTTCTTTCAACTAGTGATGGAGAGTTAAGTTAATTCTTTTTACATTCGATTCGTTAAAGCACAAGAGCACAAGTTGACTTATCTCATTTTGCTACTTTGTGCAATGGATTGGGTCTAGAACAATTCATCTCCAAAAATTGGTCCCGGACTCACTCTAAAAAAAAATCAGTACAGAATTTTGTAACATGGTTACGCAGCTTTCGAATCGAAAAAAGGTGGCCAAAATTCATTTTTCCAAAGATTTTTTTTTAGCTTTTGTGATCTATGGTGGCCGAAGTACAGTGTCTGGGCTACATATTACTGTGCAACTTAGCCCCCGACTGAGCGTGGGTTCTGAGATATGATGCTTCAAAACTACCGGTTCCGGCGCGACTCGTCATGGCGCGCCGAGAGCGCGTATGCGATGGCTGTTTTCAAGCGTCTCTTATTTGTTGTGCAGAGGAACATTCTGCCCTAGGAAGTGTAGAGTCATCAACACTTAGTTTCGCAGAGAGGGACAAGCCACGATACGGCGTTCACATATTTTGTTAAGATTCAGGGCACTTCTTCCGCGATCTGGACCACTGCAAGTTTAAGGGGGGACATCACTCCAAAAACAGTGCTTTTTGTAAAAACGTCATAAAAACCAAACGGAAAGAGAAAAATTGTTCATATTTTAACAGATAATGAATACAACAACACAAAGTCAATCCGCCAGGGCAGTACAGCGCTTTCGTTGAAAACACATTTTTGAGTGTTAGGTTAGACCATTTCGCACTGTTGCAGCGCTGGACGCCAAACGGTTTGACCTAGAAAATTGAAATTGACAGCCTTCCAGAGATGTCTGGCTATGGTGGGTACCTCAATCACATTTCAAAAATCATTTTAAGTTGTATTTGTCACATACCAAAAAAAATTGTTCAATTTTTTTGGTCAAAATTGTTTAATTTTAAACGTTAAAAAAATAATAAAAATTGATTAATGCAAAATATTTTGCTACCCACCATAGCGGCATGTCGTAGGAGCTTCCATGCTAAATCTCCCCGCTGTAGCTCAAAAACTGCGCCCTAGAGGCCTGCAACCGTTTGCAATTTCATGTTCCGAGAAAAACGCGATCAAAGTTGGGGAAACTGGGCTTTTCCCCTATGCATGTTTGCGGCCCACAACCTACTAAAACTGCAATTTTTTGAATTCCGGAATGCGGTTTTCACCATTCGACGCAGAAAGGAATGGTCTATAGAATAAACTAATAAAAAAAAATGCAATTTTTGATCATTTTGGAGTGATGTCCCCCCTTAAGGGCAACACCCTTCGCTTTCTTTCAGACTTGACACAGGATGGGATAGTCCATTAAAGAGTCTTCGGCAAACAAATGGGTAAGTTCTTACTGCTAAAACATGACTGTTTCAGGGGCCTCATTGGACGTACTTGAAGCGATTGGATCCATGCATTCCCAATGGAACCATTTCACTGCGTTTGCGCACTAGCCACTTCAACCCTCACAAACCTTGGGAGCTCCAAACTGTTACAGGGAATTTAACGATCACGGAACCGTTCGGAGACAACATTTGGGTAAAGAAACTCGTTCTTGTGGGCATCTGCAAACTGGAGAAAAAAAAACCGTCTGATAAGTGTTGCTTCTTCTTCCCCCTCTTGGGGAAAACGCCCAGATAAGATTTTTTGTATAGGAGCCCACGATGACAGCCTTAAATTTTCCAGGCAAAAAAACTTCAGCCGTATGGGCAAACAACCAATGGAAAGAAAACGCCTTCGTTTACGATCTTCATAAAACTGGGTGCTCCTCGTTTCGAAAAAATTTTACCCGGCTTTTTCAGCCTCTTGGCAAAGATGACCGGAGCTTCAACGAACCCATCTGATCCCTGTTTCATAAAACCGGTATGCCTCGCACTAAGCTCCCGCGTGGGGTCCGTGCAAAACGTCAGATTTTACATTATACTTACGCGACAGGGCAACCACTCGCGAAGTCCTGTGTAAACGATTGCCAATCTTGCGTGAAATCAGTAGAAATCTCGCGAAATCACATCAAAATCTAGTGAAATCTCGCGAAACCCTACGAAAATCTTACAAAATCTGGCATTATTCTGACAAAAAAAACCTGCTAAATCTTGCGAAATCTCGACAAAAAATCTACCTTTAAAGAATCCTGTGTACAAAAAACAAATTTCGAGTGGTTGCCCCCTTGTAGGCGTTGCTTGAAAGGGATTTTATTAGGAGAATCAATGCGGGATACGACTTTACTACACTGGCGGAAAAAATTAAGGGGACATTTTTTCAAGTGACCTAAAATTTAGAGTTTCAGAGCTAGATGGCTTCAACTTTGACACAAGTTGCCTTCAAGTGTTCTGAAGACGCGTGCAAAATTTCACTGACGAGGTTGGACCGGGGGGGGTGATCAAGGGGATATCACTGGAATTTAGGAGTACAAATCTCGCAATTCGATGAATTTCAGTCGAAATTTGATGAACTTCAGTCAAAATTCGATGAATTTCAGACGAAATTAAACGAATTTCAGTCGAAATTTTATTAATTTTAAAAATTAGATGAATTTGTCAAATTTTGATAAATTTCAATGAATTTCAATGAATTTTACAATTAATGAATTTTTGGGGTACAAATTTGGCTTGGGGTTATTTCCCTTGGGGGGTTCCCCCCCGCAAATTTGAGGTGCAAAAAAAAACGCAACTTTAGAAGCGACCGCCTGGCTCTCGGGGGTCAAAAAAATCGGAAAACGGTACAGAGCGATTTCCCTTGACGTCCTCTACAAAAGCGACCCACTGTGCGAAAAAAAACCCCAGTGAAACCCGTTAATTTTTTTTCCGGGGTTTACTGTAGTTCAGAACACAGGATTTACCGTGCCTGGCTACAGTATCTACTGTACCTGGTACAGGTATTCCGTACTCCATCCTGTGGTACAGTAAATCCCGTAGAAAGTACAGTAGATCCTGTTAAAAAAGTACAGTAAATCCTGTACTCTGAACTACAGTGACCGCTGTACTAATCACTACAGGATTTACTGTGATTTTTTCCCACAGTGCCCCCGGGAGACCTCTAGGACAAACACACCCCCTACGACCCCCACCCCCTTCAAAATCCACAATTCTTGTGGTACAGCCCTGAGAGGGCTGGCGTCATCCTTTGGTCACCCTGATCAAAAGGATACCGCGTCTGATCCTGTGCACCCTGTTGTCACCCTCGGAGAGGCCGAAAAACTTCACCCCCTTTCAGCCCCTGCAATTTGAGGAATTTCTGCTTTTCGGATGGGGGTGAAACTCACCAGGGTTTTGTTAGACGTGACCCTGAACAGCGTCGAAAAGGTCCCATGTCGATAGCTGCCCTTGGAACCACGCAAAGACACTCCCAAGTTAGGGGTGCACAACCCCCAAGCGGAGGGGTTGAAAACAGCCGCGCCGCTGGGTGGGCCTTCCAGACAGCCAAAGCCATCGGGTACATGCTTTTTAGCCCTTGAATTAAGGTCTCTTCACAATTTTTAGCCTTAAAACTGTGTTTCGACGAAAAAACAACCCCCGTGTTTGCGCCCTTGTAGGGGCTGAATCAGTACGGCTACGGCCATGCCGACCGCGGCATTGGATGCGCCAAGGCCTCCTTATCAGACACCCAAAAATTCAGAATTTTCCAATCACGCTTTTCCAGACAGTTAGCGC